AGACATAGGTATGTATCCATAACCATACATGTAATTAATGACGATAGTATCTCTCAATGTATTGTATATATCTCTCATATACTATTCATCTATTCTTTATATCATGTATGTTAGTCCTAATTGTACTGTGCTTGTGTTGTGTATATCTGTGCATTGAGTGTGTATATACTGTGTATATCTCACTGGTCCATCGTCGTGTCTATTCTTGTATGAGTTGTTTACTGTTTGATCTAAATTTATTATTAGCTCAAACCCAATAATTATTTACATAAATATCCTATGTTGTGTATACACTCCACTTATTAACATAACTATAACATGTTATGAATAATCAATATGTGATCACCCCACACAGTTATGTGTATGTATGTACATCAATCGACACACACATCACACATCACAACACATACACACACACTAGTCAACATCTCTCCACACACCCACACACACACACACACACACACACACAGCACACACACACAACACACCCACACACACACACATCACTCACATATACTATATTATAATATATCCCTGATGTATATATACTATATATATATAATTACTCCTATATCATATAATATTACTCATCTCATTCTATCAGCTCTTCGTCATGTTATAATGAGTGAGATGTGTGTGTTTCTCTCGCCAACATCACACATCTATGTAATATTACATATATATACTATATAAACATATATATCTATATATATATTATACTTCATCTATCTTACATCTACTATTCTATCTAAGTCTCTATAAAATTAACTTCTCTGTGTTGCTGGTTGTGGCATGTTCGTGTCGGTCTGTGTGTCTCTCTCTCGTCGTCTTCGTGTGTGTGTGCTTGCTGTGTGGTGTGTTGTGTGTGTGTGTGTACGATGTGGTGTGTGTGTGTATCAAGTTTATATAAATAATGTGTGTGTGTATGAATATATATATTTACTTATATAATTTATACTGTCAGTATCATGTGTTGCCGCGTACGTCTGGCCTATTCATATATATGAGTGTGTACTATACATACATCTTTAATATATGTATATATATAAATATGTTATATCTATAAATCTATATCTATCTATCTATCTATCTATCTATCATCTACTTATCTATATCTATCTATCTATCTCTATCTATTCTATCTTATATATCATATATAATATATATATATAATATATATGTACAATACATATATTGCTTTATGTATACTATATAAAATTATGGTATGTGTGTACGTGTACATGTCTATACACAAGTGTATATTTATGAAGGTATTAACATTATCCATTATTCGATCGTTTCTGTCGATTTAATGTCTACACTTTTAGGGTATATTTTACTTATGCATATGGTTCATTTCACACATGTATGTAGCATGCACACACACGCATGTCTTTTTATAGGTGTGTGTGTAAGTATGTATATGTATGCAACTATATGTGCATATATGCACACACGACACATATAGATGTTTTGTTTGTATATATAACACATACATATGTCTATGTACACATAAATATATGTATATATATACACATACATTTGTATATATATACACATACATATATGTACACACACACACCACACACACACACACACACACACACACACACACACACACACACACACACACACATATATATATATATATATATATTATATATATATATATATATATATATATATATATGTACATATATATATATATTCATATATATATATATATTCATGTGCGTTTATTTATAGTTGTATATTTCTTTGTATTATTCATAAACATTTGCTTTCCGTGCTGTACCGCTGAATGCCACAAAATTTGTAAAATAAATAATGACTGAGAATATCTAAACTTATGAAACAAATTTTGTACAGATCACCTTTATTCGCCCCCGAGGAGACCTGAATCCCTTTACCTCCATCCATACCAAGGTTAACGTAGGTAAGAGAGGGAGAGGGAGGGGCGAGGGGGCGTGTCTGTGAGGGACACGGAGTATAAAAGGCACCTGATTCTAGTTCGAAGCATCACATCTGATCCATCCTCTTCATCATGTTCACTAAGGTGAAGATCGCTGAATTTTGTTGATGCCTTTTACTCATATATTTACATCTATTCATAAATAAGTACACTTTTATGTGTAAGTGTATATGATCGTATGCATTACACATATTTATATGTATATACATGCAAAGATAGATTGATAGATGATATATTTAATTGCTGTGTTCATGTTTCAGGCCGTCGTCGCTCTCGCCCTTGTGGCCGTCACCCTGGCTGCTCCTTCACAGCCTTCCTACGGATATGCTCCTCCCGCAACCTACGATGTAAGTACAAATAGTATATATTAAGAACTTGGTGTCTTATCCTATTAGTGAACTGTAAATTATTGGTTATGTTCAACGCATATAAACTCGACTATTTTTAGGCTCCCGCTAAGTACGACTTCAACTACGCCGTGAAGGACGACTACTCCGGCAACGACTTCGGTCACCAGGAGGCCCGTGATGGCTATGATACTCAGGGATCCTACTACGTCCTCCTCCCCGACGGTCGTCTCCAGAAGGTCGCCTACACTGTCAACGGCGACTCCGGTTACGTGGCTGAGGTCAGCTACGAGGGTGAGGCCCAGTACCCCGAGTACAAGCCCGCCCCTGCCTACAAGCCCGCCCCCGCTTACAAGCCTGCCCCTACCTACGCTTAAATGAAACAAATATGAATATATTTACAGTGAATATTTATTAAACGAAAACTCTATCACTAGTCATTCGTATACTTTATCCTTGAAAATAATATATATACCATATCTTGATTTATTTTTTCATTCATCTATTCTTACATGTCCCTGTGCCTATGCATAAATATGTATGTAATCCATACGTAAAAATATAAACATACATTTTTTTTTTTTTTTTTTTACTGCATCCACTAAGCCAAAACTATTCAATAAACGAACAACGTGCTAAATCCATCCTTGGATCGTTTCTTTCGTGGAAACAGAAAAAAAAAAACGATCAAGCTGTCTTTATCCGTCACCTTACCTTTAGAGTGTTTTGACTAATTCAGTCAAAAATAGATCAGCCTTATATCATATTTCGCTGCAACAATGATAAGATTGTTAACTTGGCCTTTTTCTCTTAAGGTCATGCATCGAACACTGGCATTGTCCCACCTATAAATATAATGTAATTATATAATAACCACCAGCGTCCCTCCCTAATATGTGCATGAGTTTTCTTTACTGTAAGGGCGGAGGGTACCGGAAGAAGTCTCCAAAGGAGCACCAAAGTGGTCGATCACGAGCATTTCAGTGATTTGTAATTAATTGCGTTTCATACTGTCTGAGACATTAAAGTTGAACGCAGAGAGAAAAAGGACAATAATAACAACTCATTTGACATAAAACAGAATATGAAGGAACAGAAAAACACAGAAGTTGTTAATTTATTCGGTTACCTTCCTCTCCATAACCGCCCCTGCTACCAGTCCGCCCCCAGCTCTATCCCCGGTATCCCCGGTAAACAGCTTAATTAGTCATATTAGGAGCGGGAGAAATGAATGATGGGGATTTGGAATAATGTTTACAGTTAAGGCACTCCATTAACGGAAGGTTGCTGTCCCTTATCACGGTGGTTCTCGATGTGATATGTCTTTTTGCCTTGGTATGCAATTGCAAAAACGCAGATGCATATGTACATCCACTTATATATATATATATATATATATATATATATATAATATATATATATATATATATATATATATATATATATATACAGAAATATATGTGTATGTGTGCTTTTTTCCCAGGAGTATAACCTACTTCTGTAATGATTGTCATAGTCGATTTGGCTTGCTTAGTAATTTCCGAGTAAAATACTCCCACCCACCTCCCGCGACATAGATCTGATGTAAGGAGTGGCCTTGCGTATTGCCTTTACTAAGGGCATGTTATATAGGTTCAACCATGCTCAAATGATATAATAAAAGCGTCCCGACTAAATCCCCCATCCCCCCCCAACAAGATAGGCCTGATTTGGGAGTGGACTATTTCCTGGTGTGGAATAATATGTTGATATATGAATAAATGAATTGACATTTTGATGAAAACATACATGTGTCTTCTCGTGGGTCAGGTTCGGTTTGGGTCCCATTCACTCCCTTTTCCACGCTTCGCACGACCGACACCTTGTTGAGCCTGAACATCTCAATTGCAGTATGCACTGGTTGCGTACACATACATATATACACATATTTATGTATGTATATGTATGATGAAGCTTCATTCTCAAAGGAATATTTCACTACAAAGAGGTATCTTACCCATTTTATAAAGCCCTACGCAAATTTCAAAGTCGGAAATTCAACTCAAAACCTGTATCTACCACAGTTAACAAAGACATTAAATATATAAGACTTCC